GGGTACGTGTGGCTAGGCGCGCTGATGTGTATGTGTGGGCAGAGCGTGCGAATGCAAGCTAGCTTTTTTTTCGCACGAGCACGCTCAGGCGCGAGCGTGGGGGTGGGTGTTGGGTGTGGGGTGGGGGAGCATGCATGCGTGTGAGCACGCGCTTATTGCGGGTGGGTGCTCCTTGCGCTGATTGCAGGGGCGGCGGAGGCCTCCTGCGGGCGCCTTTGCCGCTGCAGCCAGCCACCGCCTGCTGGCCGCCCCGCCCGCTGCGCCCCCTCCGCACGCCGCCATGCCTCCCCCTGCGACTGCGCCGTCTTAGACACGCTGCCTTCGGCCGCGGCCCCTCAGGGCTCCCGCCAGGACAGTCCGTGCCTATTCGCTAAACCCTATACCTCCAATCCTGGGCCTTGGACCCTTAAACCCTGAGCCCTGCGTGGCGCCCCCCCCCCCCACCCGCGTTGTTGACCAGGACATCCAGGCTCCCCCACTTGTCCGTGGCCGCCTTGACCAGCGCCTCAAGCTCCTCGCGCTTCGCCACGTTGGCCTTCACAGTGATGGCCTCGCCGCCCTGGCGCGGCGCATGGTGCATGCGGACGCGTCTGCGGGTCAGATGGACCGGAGGCGATCGGCCCGCGGGACCATGCCCTACTCGCCTCCGCATGCGGTTCATTGCGGCGGCCAGCCCGGGCGCACAGTGCTGGCACCAAGCCGCCGTCTGGATGCTCTTGCTTTCCTCCGCCCCTCAGTGCCCTCCGACGCATGCTGTGCACTAACTCAGGGCGGCTGCGGCGGCAGCGGCAGCGGCAGCGGCAGCGGCAGCAGCGCCGGCAGCAGATTTGCCCGGTCCAAGCAGGGTGCCTCGCCGCCGGCCCCGAGCCACCCACCGCGGCGGCGATCTGGGCTGCGACCTCCTCAGCCTTGTCGGGGCTGCTGGCGTAGTTCACCACCACGCGCGCGCCGCTGGACCCCAGGGCCAGCGCGATCGCAGCGCCGATGCCGCGGGACCCGCCGGTCACGATGCACACGGGCTTGGCTGCGCGGTGATGCGGTGGTGGCGTGCGGGCCGCAGTTGCGGCTGATGAGTGACCAAGGTCATCAATTCAAGGATGTGGCGCATTGCCAGACAGTGCGTGTCACTTTGATCAGCAGGATTGGGTATAGTTTCCTATGCTGGATACACCAATGGTAGCGACAGGGGCGTGCATGCAGGGGAGGGGGCGGCGGTCGCTCGCACGCAATGGGGGAGCGGACAGGGCACGGCCCACCGTCATCGCCGGTTGCCGCAACGACGGCTAGGCTGCGACGGGCACGTACGCTGCGGATGCTGGCAGCAGAAAAGGCCCGCACCGCCTGGGCGGAGCCTGGATAACGCACGGCGCGCAGGGAGATCATCAGCCGGGGCTTGGCAGCAGGGCTGCTAGATCTGCTTGTTATTGATGCACAAAATACAATGGAATCAGCCCCACCGACAGGGTCTCGGCCGGACCCCAGCCCCAACGCCCGTGCGAGGGCGGCCCTCCCGCGCTGTCGGGCTGCTGCCAATGGGCGTCCCCAGGCATGCGTAATGGACGCTTGCGGATCAATAAGACTCACTGGTCTGCGGCCTACAGGCGCTGCGGCTGGCGTGGAGCATGGTGCTGCAGGTGCTGGCGCGTGCGCTGACGAGGGCTGGGTCAATGCAGCACAGGTCGAACCGTATCAAAGACAGCTGTGCAGGCCCAAAGTACACAAACGACTGGAGGAAATATTTTTGGGCGCCGGCACCGGCGTGCGGGCGGGCAGAGTGCAGCGAGTGTTGACTGACCCAGCGGCGTCACCTCCAAGGTTGGGCGGGGGCGGATGCAACACATGGCGGGCCCCAGCTCTGCACATGGCGGGCCCCGGGTCTGCACTCGGGATCTGCGCTCTGAGCCTATGACCCACGGCTGAAGTGTCACCCAAGTTGCACCCGCCGGCCAGACCGCACTGGTTCATGGCAAACAATTCAGCTCTCAGTTCCATTTAGACAGCCGGTTGTTTTCTCCACCGCTTGGCGGGTTACTGAGAGTGTGCTAGCGCTGCAGCTCGCGTGCTGATGAGGTGGGGCGTGCCGCCCCAGGCACAGCCATCCGCTTCCGCAGCATAGTGGCGGATGCGGTCACCCCACGCTCACGCCTCTGCATGGGCAGCGCCGGGGGGCTGCAAGGACGAGGGAGGGCAGGTATGGACGAAGAAAGGCGGCTATGCCCGGGGCAGTGCAGGGCGGGCGCCCGTCCGGGGTCCGCGGACAGAGGGGTTGGGGGCGGGGCGCTGATGCATCTGTCGATTTCGGTCAAGTTGGATTGTGCGTGCGCGGCCCCTGTCCCCTGAAATTCCCTTCCAGGTATGCATGCTGAGGGGCCCACTGGCCGGCCGCCTGTCCTCCAAATGAAACGCCCAGAGGCGCGAGGCGGCGCAAAGGAAGCCGCAGGCACAGGAGCAGAGAGCACGCAGGGACACGCGACGCAGCGGCGCCCTGCACGCGCGACGGGGACGGGGCGCGTCCGGGCCGGGCGCGGGAGTCGGCGTCCTCGCCAGGCGACAGCTTCAAGGCGCGCCGCCGCGCTCAGACCTGCGGTCTGCTCCCTGGTGGACCGGCCCACCATGGGGGTGAGGGGGCCTGGCTGCGGCGCACCTGCGGGTGCCCGCACGAGGCCAGGCCCCAACGAATCGGACGGGGCAAACCCGGCCCAACAGGTCCAGCCGTCCGCGGCAGCAAACAAGGAGACGTATGGGAAGCTTGAAGAAGCTTTTGGGGGGCAACGGACGAAGGCAGACAACCGCTGCGACCGGCGCCGCGCCGCGGCGCGGGGCGGCGCGCAGGCGCGACCCCAGGGGGCGCGAGCTCGCGGGAAGCAGTCGCACGCATGCAGGTCGCCGCGCACGCCTGGGCCTGCAGCGCAGCCGGGCCGGGCCAGGCGCAGCACGTGCACCAGAAGAGCAAGCGGGGCGGCCGCCCCGAGGGCGCGGCGCGACCCCTGAAAGAGCCGAGCCTCCCAACGCGCGGCGCGCCCGGCAGCCCGCGAGCGCTGCCGCGCGGCGGCGGAGCCACGGCAACAGAAACACCGGAAAAGTGCGCGCAGCCGCATGGGCCGTAGCGCAGAGGAAAAAAAGCAGCCGCTCCAATTTGAAACAAGGCCGCAAGAGCGCGCACAGGGGTATCCCCATTACAACGGCCCGCAGGCCCCCCCCCCACACCACCCAGCGGCTCGCAAATCGCCGCCGCCGCCGCCGCCGCCGCCGCGTCAGCGCTGCATCGCCGGCTGGTAGCTGCTGCTGCGCATTATGGGGTTGGCCGGGTACAGGGGCGCCGCCGGCGCGTAGGGCAGCTGCACCGGCTGGCCGCAGTGATCCATGACAGTCATGCTGCGCACGCAGCTGCCCAGGGAGTCCACCGAGTGCTGCTGCGCCAGCCGGAACGGGTCGGCCGCCAGCTGCTGCGCCTGCGCCGCCGCGACCTGCTGCTGATGCTGCTGGTAGGACGCGATCATGTCGGACGCGTAGTGCTGCTGCTGCTGCTGCGGCTGGCCGTGCGCGCCGGCGAGCGCCGCGTCGTGCGCCGCGTACGTAGCGTAGGCCGCGGCCGCCGCCGCGAGCCGCTGCTGCTCGGCGGCCGCGGCGGCGGCGGACGCGTAGTCGCGCGGCTGTTGTTGTTGTTGCTGCTGCTGCTGCTGCTGCACCTGCTGGTGCACCATTTGCGAGAACTTGGCGGCCTCGTTCTGAAACTCCCCCACCCGCTCCCGCGGCAGCGACGTGGCCGCCATGATCGGCCGCCCGTTCGCGCCGACGCCGTGCCGCGCCGCCGCGCCGCCGACGCTCGACGCGCCGCCGCCGGCGATCGCGCCGTCCTTGCTGCTGCCGGCGCCCTCGCGGCCGGCCTGCTGGCCCTCTAGGTACATGAACTGCCGCTTGAAGTTGTCGACCGCAGAAGGATACAGGAAGGTGGGCAGGCGGCCGCCAGACAAGTAGTCTTGCAAGACCTGCGAGGTTTGAGGAAAGGCAGCGGCGGCGGGGGCTGCTCTGCACCGAAACGAGACGCCGCCTTGTTGACAGGCGATGCATAACTACCTGCGGCGCTAGCCCGTTGCTTGGCACACGCACGTCCGGGCGCCGCGCGCCCCATATACAGCCCCGTTCCTCATCCAGTAGTCCCCCCCCCCCGCCGCCCTCCTCACCTGCGGGTGGTATTCGAGGATCTCCCTGTAGATCAGCTCCCGCACCTCCTCGATCGCCAGCTTGCGCCGTTCGAATTCAAACGCCAGCTTGCTGATGGCCTGCGCGCTGGGCTCGCGCGCCGGCGAGTGCAGGTTGGAGAAGTAGGGGTCCGCCAGGGCCTCCTCTGGAGGGGGTGGGGGGTGTGGTGTGTGGTGTGTGTGTGGGGGGGGTAG